ACAGACAGACAGACCGACAGACAGACAAAAAATTTAAAAATTGTGTTTTTGTTACTAGTACTTTCATATGCATTTAATAAAAAGCTGTTATTTTAACATTACAAACAGACACTTCAATTTTATTTATTTGTAGATATAGATATAAGATATTGTTCATATTGGTGTCATTTTAAAGGGAATATCATGTACTATTATAATAATAAAATAATTGATAGGACTATGACACCACTAAGGGAAGTGAAATTTTGATATAGGTAAATTCATGTCTTTATCTTGAATTTGATTGCTCAAAAACACGATAGTATAATTTTGAGTCGATCATAATTATTTGCGAAAAACCCTCTAAAAAACCACTATAGTTGAAATTACAACGAAATTACTTAATCTATATGCTTCGAAATCACTCAAATATATTCATAACATTAATATTCATAATTTACTTGCTCATTATTTTGATTACTCAAATCAATAATTTTTACAAAAATATTTTAAAGTTCTGAGAATTTCTAAGCGCTTTTAATCGTCGCGGGCGCTACGCTATTTTAGACCTTATGAGGGCGTTTTTTCAAGTTTTTATAGAAATTATGCATTCACTCGGATCAGTCCGGCGATAGCCTTTTCGAGGTGTCGTCTTAACGCAATTCCTTTGTATAGTGCGACGTTGTCACTCTTATTAGTTATTCCGCTTCGTAATATTTTATTTATAGGTGATATTTTGTTTATGTAGGTATTCGATAGATTCCTATAGTCTGTTTTTTTCGCAGGAGACAAAAATAACAGATCTTTATTAGATTCGTTTAGCCCGAATAATACAGTTTTTATGATTCTGGTTCAGATTTGTTTTCTTATCGGTCACCACGCTCAAAAAGTGTAACTTGATTTAATATCAAAGACTTAACTGCATAAATAAAATAAATAATTAATTATAATTGCATAAGTTGATAAAAAATGCTATGCAATAGCTTTACCGCGGCAGTCCCCGAGTGCCACACGTCTTTTTTTTAGAGCCACTGTGTATAACACAGCATCGACCTTATCCTAATTCCTATAGAGCCCCTGTGTACCACGGCGAACGGGACCGCCCAGAACACAGCATCAATCCATTTCCATTCTACGAGACGACGAGAATTAGGTGTGTAGACGTGATGTATGGTCGAAACACAAATGGGGCATGATTCATTCTTGCTCGAGCTGTCGTGCAGTTCGGACTGTTAGTTGAATTCGCGAACTATAAATTGTGAACAATAGTGAATAATTATAAAATCGTTAATTGTGAACAATAGCGTGTAATTGTTGATTGTGAGTAATTATTAGTTGTGATTAGTAAAATCAGTTAAAAGTAAATAAGTGATTCTTATTATTAAAGAAAACAATAATGAGTGAAACTAGAAATCTCAATAATGACGTCATATATATATATATATATATATATATATATATATATATATATATATATATATATATATATACAGGCTGTTAGTGTAAACACCGTTGTCCTTGAAACCAGTGGTTTGGTTTCACTTATAGAACGTAAATTCAATGAATTTAAAAAAAAATTCGCTATCTTCTTTCATAAAATTTAAAAAGTTTCTGTCCGACACCGTCCGTAAATTCATGGATACCCTATGCGCCCGAGTGACGTAACCGCTGTAAAAATCACCGCCCGCGCTAGCTACCTACACAACATTCAACATAAAAACACAATAGGTAGACATAACCTGTGATGTAACTTTTCCTTCATACTTTTATCCTGGCTTAGCACAGACAAAAATTGAGGAATTAAGGAAAAATTGAAATTTTACTAAAAAAATGTTGTTATTTTTCATTGAATTTACGTTCTATAAGTGAAACCAAACCACTGGTTTCAAGGACAACGGTGTTTACACTAACACCCTGTATAATTTAAGAAAAAAAATTGTCAGGCCACAGATAAATGGAACAGAGGTACTCAGCGGTTGCTCAAAGTGCGAATATCAAGTGCGCGCGTCCGTGTTCGGAGAGCGTAGGGAAATAGCAATGCCCTTTTTTTATTAAATTACAAAATTGTAATAGAAAATATTTTTTAATCTAAAATAATCAAATTATGTACTACTAAATAATAAATTTCGACAAAATTAACTTTAATTTTTAGAAGAAATCAGCATCGCTTCCTTCATCGCCCATGTCTGAATTTGTTTCGTCGATGTCTTGTTGCTCGGACTTAGACTGAAGAAGAAGAAATAATTTATTATTATTGTTAAAAGGCTATTTGGGAATAATATTAGACAAAATTTATTTCAATCAACATAATCGTTTGTAAAAGTAAAGTTTAACAATTTAAATACGTCTTTATTTTGATTTGGATGAATGATAACGTCTTTCACAAACGTTGACAACTTCTTTCCAACTATTTTCTGTTGCCGACATATTAGTTAAAATAATTGTAATATTAAAATATTTTTTTTTAGAAAAAAGGCGAATTCACATTCAATTATATAATTTCACTGTAAGTTTATATTATAATGTAAATGTAAGTTTTAATTATTATTGTAAAATCACTTAAAAACCAAACATTTCAATTATTATTCAACTATTTTTATTACATTTAATAAAAAAATGTTGAATAACACATGAAAAACAAACATTTCAATTATTATTCAACTATTTTTATTAGATTTAATAAAAAAGCTGTTAAATAATAAAGTGTTTGGTTTTTATGTGATTTTACTATTTTTTCTTAAATTATATATAATAATTAAACATTAAATAAATTTTCAGCCGTTACAAAACTTGCTCCGACATGGTTATGGCGACAAACTTATGTTGCGTGCTGACTTCAGCGCGTTCCACGACAATGCGATCTGACCACTTTCTTACGTTTTTTGTACTATAAACTAGTTTACTACCAATTTTCAATTATTGCAAAACACTTGTAGAGCATGTTGTAATTTTACATACATAAAAGCGCGTCTCCGCCGGGTGTTCCATTACCTGACATTTTGAGTGGGCGCTGACTCATGTATACCCTCAATACTAAAATCATATTGAATTATTTTTTTATATATTATTTTAGTATGACAAAAATCTTGCCAATTTTTGTCGCCAGCTCTTGGAATATCAGAATATAATATTTATCACTAATACTGAGGTAGCTATAATTTGTTTCACCTATACTTTTTTAATAGGATAAGGGTGACAAATGAGTACACAGTCGTGGTGGACTGGACTAATGGGAAGTGGTTGCTGTGGCGCATAGACATCTACATCTATCCTTGATTACGTATCAAAACGTAAAAGCGTTGTTACCCGTAAGGGCTAAGATGGAATGCCTCGTTACCAGTAAAATGGGTCTCTGGTTCTCTATCCTCACCATACACAGCAGCGTTAAGCTGTTATTTCAATATACATTCATGCTATCAAAGTCCAACTGTACCGTGAAGTGGTAGTGTAGGAATATAAACTACCCCCATATTGTTTGCTGGGTATCACGAGAAGCGACATACGGAAATCAGGTGATAGGAAGCAGTGTTTTCCTAATAACTATTAGAAAATAAAATTTCAGCAATGATCTTGATAGAATGTAATCAGTGGGGATTAAATGGCGGCTATAAAATTTTGCCGCCTTTAACGACTTATACAATTCGACTATTTCATGTGCAATCTTAACTAAATCTTTGGGTTATAAATGTAATCTAGGAACTGACACATTGATTCCTTAGTTCTTAGTTTTCCTTTTCGGTTGTTTTTTTTCTCCCTGTCTTTTGTATACGGCTTTAAAAAAAGGAGTAGGCTCCTAAGTCGTATCGGTCCGGAAAAGTCTCTGGTGGCAATCGATTCCACAAGGAAGTTGTGCGAGGAAGAAACCTTTTTTTAAATCGCTCAGTGGTGGACTGACGACGCCGAGGATTCCGATACTGGCTTAGGCAACTAGGGGGAGTGCCTTGAAACTGAGGAGATACGACGAAAGAGTTCTTTTTAGCGGTAAACGCGCAAACTTGTGTCTTCTTGTGACTAAACTTGACTTTTACAAGTCGCCCCCAGTCCGAGACTTTGTTCAATAGAGTTTCGACTTCAGACACAAGTTTGTACCGGCACTCAGCGACGTTTTCCCGAGAAATATTGGCACGGGCGGTGTACAAAGCATCACCAGTGCTATCATCTGCACAGCAATGAATGTTACCAGTTTGCAACATATCATTGATATGCAGAAGAAACAGCGTTGATCATAGCACGCAGCCTTGTGGAACATCAGCATTAATGGGCTTGTATTCGAAGTATGCACCGTCTACTACGACGTTGATGCTCCAATCTGCAGAAAACTTGTGATCCAATTTTTCTCGGGAAGCCCATAGGATAGAAGCTTCGTAAGAAGTGCTTTGTGCCAAACCCAATCGAAGGCCTTTGTTATGTCCAAACTGACGGCCAACGCCTCCCCTTTGGACTCTACCGCCTCCGTCCATTTATGAGTTAGGTAATAAATATTTTAAGTTATAATAACACAAAATGCTGAAATTAACAGTTTGTTTACTAACAAGATTTTTAACTAAATAGAATACGATCACATTTCGGTTAGGAAGCGTATTTCAGGTTTATTTGTTGTTTACACTATCTACCTATTTCTTTCAAACCAAGGCATCGTGATTCCTGACGAAGTTCCCGGCTCCCGGTTCTGAGCCTTGCAAGTTCTGTGATAACTCGCATAGAAGCAAAGATATGGTTAGTCGATCGTAGTCAAAATAGGTACTTCACCTAAGTAACTTAATTATCATTTCGCAATGTATTTTTTACTTTATTGACAATCCTTAGTAACCACAAAAATTCCGTCGTGACGTAGGAAAGGGAAAAGATGGAAAGTAATACAGTTCTTGGCGCAGCGATAAAGTTTTATATAGCTTGCGAGTGCGGTTTACCTAATGGATGGATACTACACTCCGCCGGTGACTTGTGTTGCTCTTTGATATTAAACAGTTATAATAAATATTTTCAATCACTAGCAGTAATTTTAAAATTTATTTTTTCAGATGTGATACACACCGTAGGCCCTCAAGATGGTTCCGCATCAAAGCTGCAATCATGCTATGAGAACTGCCTTGCTCTTAAAAATGAAATTCATTTTAAGTCTATTGCATTTCCATGCATTTCAACTGGTATATATGGTTTTCCAAACCGTCTAGCGGCACATATTGCTTTAAGAACAGTTCGGAAGTTTCTGGAAAATAATGATGACATGGAGCGAGTCATCTTTTGCACATTCATGCCCGTAGATGTGGATATCTATGAGACACTGATGCAATTATACTTCCCAGTCGAGGATTAAAAGTGATAATTAAAATACATACATACTTTTTCAACCTTCATTGTGTGTTTCATGAAATATTTATTCTAAAACAGAAAATAAAGTAAAATAAAATGTTGTTTTTAATATTATTTTAGTGTTTAATAATGAATGATGTTTTTCATTTACATGATGATAAAGGTGGTAATCTAAAGGGAAAAAATGTTGGTATTGCATTTGAGAATACCAAATGGTATTCTACAGAATAAAGAACTTTTTTAAGCATAATGTTTGCTAAGATACTACACAATAAATGAAACCAAATTTATTTTTATTAATTTTCGCATTTAATTTTTATTTGACCACCTCAACAAGACCGGTCGTTAGGGTGATGGGGATTCGTCTGGATTCTCCCGACATTTTATATGATCTCCAAACTCCTGACAAAACTCAAAATCTCCAGACAAACAGCTTCTCTTCGCATCACAGCTGCCATTGGTTTAATAAAAGCTGATTTTTTTTCTCTTTATTAGTGAGCTTAATCACTACCCCGTTAATTCATCACCAAAAAACAATTACATTAGGTATACTTAAACTCATTACTTAAAATCATTGCCGTGTAGTGGCGGTTTAGAATATCCACTACCCCATATCTTACCGTGGGTGTCGTAAGAGGCGACAGAGGGAGACAGGCAGGAGATGGGCAGCAGCATCTTCCTGATAACAACTGTGATATAATAAAAAACTGCGGTTGCCAACCCGCTCGCCAAGCGTGGCAACTATGGCAAATATCCCCCCATGAATAACGACGCAAACAGACTGCCCCCAGTCCCCGGCGGCCCCGCTATTCCTGGCTACGGTGGCGACCATGGTACCGGCGGGGCAGGGGGTGCTAAGAATCTCTGGTGGAGGTTCGGTTACCACCTCCGACGACTCGACCTGGCAACATATAACGCACGCACCCTGAGGACTGACGGGTAGATACTGGAGCTGGAAGAAGAGGGAGACAAGTTGCGCTGGCATATTATTGGATTATCCGAGGTCCGAAGAGAGGGGGAGGACACGGCAATCCTAGAGTCCGGCAACTTGTTCTATCACCGGGAGGGCGACCATCTGTCCCAAGGAGGTGTCGGATTTATCGTCCACAAGTCTCTCGTCAACAACGTTGTAAAGATTGGGAGTGTGTCGACGAGGGTCGCGTACCTGATACTCAGAATCACCAAACGGTATTCGCTGAAGGTCATACAGGTTTACGCACCAACCTCGCACATCCCGATGAGGAGGTGGAGGAAATGTATGAGGATATTTCCAGAGCCATGCATTCCTCCAAAACCCACTACACGATGTTGATGGGAGACTTCAACGCAAAACTAGGCACAAGAGAAAGCGGTGAGCTGAAGGTAGGGAAATTTGGAGTAGGGCAACGGAACCGAAGGGGCCAGCAGCTGGCCAACTTTATGTAGAAAGAGGGACTCTTTATGATGAACTCTTTCTTCCAGAAGCGGCCCCACAGGAAGTGGACCTGGTCGAGCCACGACCATTCGACAAAAAATGAGATTGATTCATCATGACGACCAGACGCCAACTGTTCAGTGATGTCTCAATGATCGCAAGGGTAAAAACTGGCAGCGATCACCGATTGGTTAGAGGCACACTGAACCTAAATGTTAAGTTGGAGAAGTCTCGTCTAATGAAGTCATCGCTCCGCCCCCTCGTGCTCTAATCCAGAATCCCGAAACCTTTCAGCTCGAGTTACGTAACCGCTTTCAGTGCCTAGAAGATTGCAATGCAGTGGACGATATGAATGACAAGCTCGTGGAAACTGTCCATGCGGTCGGAGCTAAGTTCTGCAGGACCCGCCGCAGAAGAACACAAAAACTTTCCGATCACATTCGTAATCTCATGGATGTTAGACGGGAGATGAGGCTTCAATCGTCAACAGATTTGACAGCATACAGGCAACTGAACAGACAAATCTCCAAATGCATGCGGCGAGACTTTCGCAACTTTAATACTGCTCGTATTAAAGAAGCGATCGAGAGCAACCAGGGCTCCAAAGTCTTTGCCAGAGATCTGTCTCCCAGTAAGAGCCAACTGTCAAAGCTGAAGACTGAGTGTGGCAGCATCGTTTCCGAGACACCTGAGATTTTGAGTGAAATTGAGAGGTTCTATGGGAAGCTGTACACATCATCGTTGGAGCCACACGCAAGTGTGAGTAACGATCCAAGAGCAAGTCTTACCTGACACTATTCCGATGATATCCCGGACGTCAGTATGAGCGAGATTAGAATGTCTCTCCAGCACCTTAAAAACGGCAGGGCCCCAGGCGAGGATGGAATTACAGCGGAGCTTCTGAAAGCGGGTGGAACACCGGTACTTGAAGTCCTTCAGAAACTCTTCAACTCCGTCCTCCATGGTGGCACTACTCCAGAGGCGTGGAGCAGAAGTGCGGTGGTCTTGTTCTTTAAGAAAGGCGACAACGCTCTCTTGAAGAACTACAGACCGATTTCCCTTCTAAGCTGCGTCTACATGCTGTTTTCGAGAGTCATTACGAATCGTCTCGTACGCAGACTCGACGACTTCCAGCCTCCCGAACAAGCTGGTTTCCAAAAAGGCTTCAGTACCATAGACCACATACATACCCTGCGGCAGATTGTACAGAAGACCGAGGAGTACAAACTGCCACTTTGCCTGGCGTATGTGGACTATGAGAAAGCCTTTGATTCCGTCGAAATTTGGGCGGTGCTACAGTCCCTTCAGCGGTGCCAAGTTGACTGTCGGTATATCGAAGTGCTGAAGTGTTTGTACAGTAGGGCTACGCTGGCTATCTGAGTACAGTACCAGAGTTCGAAGCGTATCCAACTGCAGAGAGGTGTAAGACAGGGTGACGTTATATCCCCGAAACTCTTCACCGCTGCGTTGGAAGACGTTTTCAAGCTACTGGACTGGAAAGGATACGGTATTAACATCAATGGCGAGTATATCACTAACCTTCGATTTGCCGACGATATAGTCCTTATGGCAGAATCGCTGGAGGACCTTAGCACTATGCTCAATGACCTCAATGGTGTCTCCCAACGGATAGGTCTTAAGATGAACATGGACAAAACAAAAATCATGTTTAATGTCCATGTCACACCTATGCCGGTAGTTGTTGGGAGCACTATGCTCGAAGTTGTTGACGAGTACGTTTACCTGGGACAAATAGTCCGACTAGGTAAGTCCAACTTCGACCGAGAGGTCAATCGACGGATTCAACGCGGCTGGGCAGCGTTCGGGAAATTTCGACACATCTTCACGTCAGGTATACCTCAATCTCTGAAAACTAAAGTGTACAACCAGTGCGTGTTGCCAGTGATGACTTACGGATCAGAGACGTGGTCCTTCACCGCTGGCCGTATTCGATTTAACAAAAATCCATTTTTCTTTATTCAAAATGAATCGATTTGTCGCAAATCGATCTTAATAGAAATAAATAATGGATTTCTGCGAAAAAATCCAAACTAAAAGTCAAAACAAACAATTCAAAACTAAAAGTCAAAGATAATGTTCCTTTAAAATTTCAAGGTAAGGAGTTTGGAAAGCAAATAGCATTATTGATACAAGTTTTAGTTTCTATTAAACGTTTTATTTATTATAATAAAAATGAAAGGATGAGCATACCAACAAAATGATAATTTTATTGTCTCAAAACTATAATATAAATCAAATTAAAAATTGTTATAAATGTCCAGTCCTATTTTACATTTGACATGTTTTAGAATAAAATACGTAAAATAAGAATTGAAAAACTAAACTACTACCTACTCTTTTAGTCTCAAAAACTGTACTAAAATACAAATCTTTCGTTGATCTTCAAGTTTAAACAATAAAATTATAATTATTGTCACAAATATACAGTCCCATTTTACATTTGACTAGTATATAATAAAATACTTAAAACGAAAATTAAAAAAACTGAACCACTAAGCTCTCTTTAAAACTAAAATATTAAACAAATCTTTCGTTATTTTTTAAGTATAAACAATCAAAACACGAAAACAAATTATTGGCACTAATTTTCAGTCTTGTTTTACTTTATTAAAATAAAATGATAAGTCAAAAATTTTCAGGTATTAGCCGTAGTCAACTAGGAACCCTTATAGTTTCGCCATGTCTGTCTGTCAGTCTGTCCGTCCTCGCTTAATCTCTGTGACCGTTAGCACTAGAAAGCTGAAATTTGGTACCAATATGTGTATCGATCACGCCGACAAAGTGGTAAAATAAAAATTGGAAAAAAAATGTTTTATTAGTGTAGCCCCCTTATATGTAAAGTGGGAAGTGATATTTTTTTAATTTCAACCCTAACGTGTGATATATTGTAGGAAAGGTATTTAAAAATGAATAGGGGTTTACTAAAATCATTTTTTGATAATGTCAATAATTTCGGAAATAATCGCTCCAAAAGTAAAAAACAATGTGTCCCCCCCCTCTAACCTTTGAACCATAAGTTTAGAAAATATGAAAAATCTGAAAAGTAGAACTTTATAAGGACTTTCTAGGAAAATAATTTTGAACTTGGATGGAAACAACAGTACCCACTACCGGGAGCAGTTGTAGGAGCGCGAACATAATGGATACCCACCTTTAAACTCATAACTGGGAACACTTAATGTGACTGACGGGAAACTACGGAACCCTACACTGAGCGTGGCCCGACACGCTCTTGGCTGGTTTTTTATAGTAATTTTGAAATGTGTGCACCGCTTTCCAATTACCCGTCGTAAGGATTTTATCTAGGGAAAAATTTTCTAACTAATTTAAAGAAGATACTGCTGATCTTACTGACCCAGGATTAGCTTCAATACCTGCCTCTCTCAAAAGTGATTTTACCCACCCAGCAATTACAGTACGGGATGCTGGCTTAGCGTCACCTCTAGCTGTAATAAATAAATGATTTATAGCCTTTCTGCGATTTTTAGATATCTTTAATAATTGTCTTATCTAAAAAATAATATTCACCAGACTGTCTATGATTAATGCTGTCCGTTTTGGAACCAAAA